GATAGATAGATAGATAGATAGATAGATAGATAGATAGATAGATAGATAGATAGATAGATAGATAGATAGATAGATAGATAGACCATGCTTGAACCCAGAACCTTGTAGCAGCAACAGTGCTAACCACTCATGCTCAAAACAATTACAAAAACCAATTTTGAGCAACATTTTATAAAGTTTAGACTATAGAAATTTATCCTGCATTAAACTGAATTTACAGAACTGACTTAAAAGCTGTCAGAATCATCAACCAGAATATGACCTATTTTAGCTGAAAGAATTTTCAGCATTAACAACATTAAAAGTAGTTTTTTTACAGCAATAAATGTCCATTTTAAATCTCCGTTTGAGCCACTGTACCGCTGATGTTTCTGAGCTGCGTGCGTGCAGCCTCCTCCATCGTATCAATGCCCTCAGCCTGGAAAGGGTTAACAGTTTGGTGCGCGCTCACGCCGCCACGCACGGCTCTGTGAACCCAGGATGCTTCTCCATCATCCGAGCTCCAGTCCCAGCATCAGCACCCACCTCCTCCATCCTCACCCTCCCAGGCRTTAGACCGAGCTGCAGGCTGTCTGTCCGATTGTTGCTGCAGGAAGAAAAACCCGCTGGTTTAATATTACTGTTATTATCATCAGTTATATTATTGTTATTGTTGGCATCACTGCGGGACTGATTGGGGGGGAGGACGGGGGAGGAGCAGCGGCTGTTCATTCATTAATGTGTGCGTTCGGACTGCGATATAGGCTGCAATAAATGGCGAAAACAATCCCATCGTCCAGCGCGGTGACAGGTAAGCATAATATGAAATGATTAAAATAGTAATAAAAATCAAGATTTTTATTTTTTACGACGGGATTTGAACGCAGGCTCGGAGATGACGCAATTGATTTCCTGAGCTGCACGCGCGCTCCATTGGCTGCGATGACTGCGCTTCTCTGTTTAGTTTATCCGCTAACATTWGGTTTAAAACTGCTTAAAGCGCTGTCTGAAAAGACAAACGAGGAGATCTTTGTTGACTCGCTTGTTGTTTTAAAAATCACGTGTAAAACTGAACAAAAATGGGAATAAAACTGTGCTTCTTTGTTTCAGCCTTTTCACGGTGTCTATGGGTTTTATGTCCTGTCAGATTGATCTAAACAAGCTGTGAGAGTTTCAATACATTCAAAATAGGTATTACCTTTATTTTATGAGAACAACACTATTGTGTGATGATGTGTCTGGCAATGTTTGACAGCAATGACGATTAATGAAGCCGGCAATAAATAGATTTTCTTTCTCCACATCCTGAAAAATCCATTGATGGTCCATCGAAAACAYCATAAACAAACTGAAGTAATTAGAAAAAAGGCTGGTCCTCCTTCACTTTCCAGTGTTCCCCGGAGAATGTACTGGAAAAGATGCAAAATTAAAAACAAAGCTGTATTTTATCTTTACATCCAGGTCTYCATGGCCACTTTAAAGCTATACCATCTCTCTGTCCCCTGCAGCAGGGTGAGCGTCTTCTGCCAAGTTCAGTATGATTAAAATCCCCAAGAAAACAGAGTAATTCACTTAAGCGAGTGAGCTGATGGGCTGACAGTTTAGTCTGCAGCACGCTTATTGATTCGGTGACTTTGTGGAATTAAAGGTAAGATTTAAAATTYAACGCAGCTGCGTTAAAGAGATTAATTATTTTCATCATAAAGGAATGTTTTGTGTAGACCCAAGAATTCAGAATGTTTGAAGGAAAAAAGCAAGACATTTAAAAAAAATTAACAATAGAGGCAGTAAAAATATAAAACATTAAAGATCTGGCCCACATCTATGTGTGACATTATTTAAACATTTATTAATCACGTTACAACCTGCTGGGCTACTTTGACAACTCAGTTTCTGAGGAAAAATATCCCGTTTATAGATTTGAATGCTGAGTCAAAGTTGATCCAGTGGTTGTGTCTGAGATGAGCAGGATCTGTTCTGCACAGGCTACTTTTGGATGTAATACATAGGTTTGGAGGATTAAGAGTTTTTGTATCGATTCAGTRATTCAAATCTATCACGAAGTCCGATACCCTAATTTGTCATGTTCAAATATAGGACAAAGACTTTAGGGAAATAAAAACAATTTGTAAAAACTAACAAAACTGTGCAACATTTTAAGAAAATAAGCAATAATGTAACAAAAAATATAAAAAATAATGTCAACAACAACAAAAATAACTGCACATGATGCAGAAGACTAATGACTAACTCAAAACAAGGAGACTCTGCACTACTGAGTGTAAACAAAAGTATCAATCTCATCACCCTATAGAGCCAATACCAATACTAATCTTGTTATCAATACTATCAATACTTAGATCRATGTGCCCACCCCTAGTAATAAGATAGTAAAAACAGCTTATATTTGTCTGAAAGCTTTTTCTAACGTGATGCTATGAGTGAATATTTGCCATTATAAATGAGAAAGTTTGCTTATGAGTGCAGCTTAGCAGCAGGAAAAAAAAAGCTTTTTTTCCGCATCAGCACTCTGTGAATTCTTGTTGTTTTTGTCCTTTAGGTGAAAAAATGGCACCACCATCCATTACCCTCCTCCCTGACAGGAAATCTCCAACAAATGGTCACAGCTCTCCTGTTCGGACAGGAAAAAACAGTGAGTCTCCTCTTTCCTGCGTAGCTTCACCTGGAATCATTTAGGCTGCTGCATTTTTTTCTAGTAAGTCCTGACAAGTTGCATCTGCAGAGCTTCAGTGTTGTGTGAGTGAACCGATGAGACCAGCCGAATGTGACTGTCAGCATGAGTGAAGTGATGACCACATCAAGGCCAGTTTCCTGCTCGTCTCCTGCAGCAGAGTGGCACTCTGTCCTTGGCCCAGGGGGGGCATTTTGCAACACGATGCTCCTCATTACAATGCGGCCCCGCTCATTGTTGRTGAGAACGCAGTACTGCAGCTCAGCACAGGCTGACGTGATGTGTGCGTTTGTGTGTTTACGATTCCAGATCCATTCAACACAGAGAAGAAGCCGCTGGTGAACGGACATGCATCCCCTTCGCATCTGGCGAGTGTTTCCAACAACCACGGAGGTAAACAAAGTGAGTGTTTTTACTCTGATGTCATGTTAATGGCAAGGCTGCCTAGGGATAATATTTTTGCCCATGTGTGTATGCCTGTTTATCTGTCTGTTAGCAAAATACCTCACTGAACGGATTTCAGAATACAATCATTGAACGTACATCTATACAACTGATTGAGACCAACTCTAGATGGCCACCACCAGCTAACAGTGGTGGGCACAACTGTGACCAGAGCCAGCTCTTGGCATAGGCGAACTAGGCGGTCGCCTAGAGCGCCATCTGCTGGAGGBGAGCCGAACTGCAGAAGAAAAAAAAACGTAATTATTTGTAATCCCTGGTTGTAACTCTGCTCAGCGTCCCTTTAAATTAGCTTTGTCTTAAAAAATCTATAATGAAGTATTACAGGAAAAATAAACTACTCCACCCATAAAACATTTTCTCCCACCAATGCAGCAATCGTCCCCACCCTCTCTCTCATTTGATTGACGTTGCACTGACTTGTCCTGCTCCGACACTCTGACGGGGGAGGGGCTAGTAGCACCTCTCAGGTAGCAGTTCGTGTTCACAAACTCAATAACAACAAGTCTGTATTTTGTTGTCCCATACATGTCAACCTCTTCTGACGTTTACCTGTTTGAAAAGCCTCAAAAATCTGTACGTTTTGGAAAAAAATCCATACAACTTGCACCCGGGCAGTGGAGGGAGGGTGGGAGGGTGTCAGCCTTGCTAACGGACAATCCATACAAGTTGACA